CGGGCGCTGGAGCCGCTGCTCACCCCCACTGCCAGCACCGGCCCCGCTCACACCCGTAGCCAGCACCAGAGCTGCCGCTCGCACCTGCTGCCAGTGCCCAGCGCTGGTCCCAATCACTCAACTCCATCAGCAGGTGTGAGCAGCAGCTGCTGGCCCTGATCACCCGTGAGGGCTTCTCCACCTCCCCCTGCTCCTGAGGGGGCCACGGGGGCAGCAGCCGCCACTCGCACCTGCTGACAGTGTCAGCCCCACTCACACCTGCTGCTGGCGCCGGCCCTAATCACTCAGCGTCGTCATTGGGTGGGAGCAGGGCCAGTGCCGTCAGCGTGTGGGAGCAGCGGTGGTGGGAGCAGGGCTGCTGGCAGACAGGGGACCAGGAGCCATGGTGGAAGGGGCCGGGCAGGGGCATGGAGACCCACCCTTGTGCCTACCACAGCCTCTCAGCCCACAGTGCCTTTCAAGGTGCACAAATTCATGCACTGGGCCCCTAGTAATTCAATAAAAGTAGCTAAAACAGCCGTGGGCAAACTACGGCCCACGGGCCAGATCCGGCCCATTCAGGTGTTCTGTCTGGCCCGCAGAGCCGAAAGAGCAGAGGGTTCTCTTGCTCCCCCCTCCGCTCCTTCACCAGCAGCAGTGTTAACATGGCAACATCGGGACACACGGCCGCAGCTCCTTCTTCTGAGTCCAGTTTAAGAACCCATTGTGGCTCGGCTGGCTGCTGCACAGCACACCCTGGTGGCCATCCCTTTTCAACACAGGCCTTTCATAATTTTTAAAAGGGAGCCACATTTGTAAGTTCTAAGTTTTCTAAATGCCACACTTAAGAGATTAAGCAAAGAAAAAAAGAAAGACTTATGGACACAGACAACAGTATGATGGTTCAGAGGGAAAGGGAGGGGGGGATGTGGAGGAGGATACAGGGGGATAAATGGTGATGGAAGGAGACCTGACTTACTGTGTTGGTAAACACAATACAATATACAGATGATGGACGGTAGCATTGTATACCTGAAACCTATATAATTTTATTAACCAGTGTCACCACAATAAATTCAATAAGAAAAGTTTAGCCCAACCGGCGTGGCTCTGTGGTTGAACATCGATCTATGAACCAGGAAGTCATGGTTTAAATCCCGATCAGGGCACATGACCCGGTTGCACACTCCATTCCCAGTGGAGGGCTTGCAGGAGGCAGCCTATCAATGATTCTCTCTCATCGATGTTTCTATCTCTCCATCCTTCTCTCTCTCTAAAAATCAACAAAATACATATATACATGTATATGTGTATATATACTTTTAAAATATATTAAATAACTCAGGATCCTCCTCACCTTAGTTAAATGTTCCTGAGGAGTCGGAGCTGGACTGAATTCTCCATTTGAAAATGCAACCCCTTCCCTTCTTACATCTAGAATAAGCTGTGCCACATAATTTTCCTGGAACCGAGTCCTTTTGCCCAAAGCACCTGAAAAAAATATAAAATTATATTCATTGATTTGTCGATCAGACCTACTGTTCAACCATAAAGAGCAATTTTCAGAGTGCTTTAGAGTTTATAAAGTGTTTCTCCGTTTCACAAGGAGAAACCTAAGTTTCAGTGATGATTTTAAATGACTTATCCTATATAATAAAGAGCTAATATACTAATTAGACCAGACAGCAGAACAACCATCCAGATGACCTTCCAGACGAAGCTGGGGCTGCAAGGGCCCAAGCTCCATGCACGAATTTCGTGCACTGGGCCTCTAGTAAAGTTATAAAGCCAATAAGCAATGGGGCCAGAATTCAAACCCAGGATTTCTGCCAACAGATTCCACATCACACTATCAACATCCTCAAAAGAGTAACTCAGGTAACTCATTAAGTGCCGTAGGGAGAAGAAATGTTATCATCTCCATATGACAGATGAAAAAATGGAGGTTCTGAGATACAATCACTTGCTCAGTATCAGAGCCAGAGCTTAAAGCCAGGTTTTCAGATTCTAAATTCCAGTCTCTCTATCTGGCTTCAGGAGACATCAAACCTTTTTTCATTTTGTAACTGAACTAACTTGCTGCAGAATAGCTTTAAGAGAAGCAAAAGTTCTCACATCCATTTCCTGGTAAGAGTCAGATTACAAAGATCCTTGATAACCAAGGCCAGTCTAAGAAGTCTGGACTTTATTCTGCTCTGAGTCTGGCTCTAAGTTATACCTTTTAAACATGTTACACTAAAAACTGCTACTGAGATGGTCTAACACAGCTTACAATATTTATAGTAAGGTTATAGCTGAATAGAAAAAATAATCTGAATCTCCTTTTATATTTGTGAGTACCACATTGGTATTTTTAAGTTCATCACTCTTAACTTGGAAAAAATTGTGAACACTAGGCAGTAAACACATCAACAGTTAAAGGTGACCATATAAGGCACTATGCTATTTTTCAAGTGGTCCAAAAAAAGTCTCCTAAATCCACAATATTCAAAATCATAATCTCTGAAACTAACCTCACAAGTTATATTACATATAACTATATTTTCAAACACAGACAAGACTTCAACTTGCACACGGCCATTGTTCCAAAAATTGTAAACTGGATATTTAATAATTTTCCC